CGAAAGCTGCATCACGCAATTAAAAATGTTTATGCAAAACATCATGGACGTTCATTTTCTTGAATAAATGTTCGTTCTATTTCATATGGCTGTTTATTCTGGTCAATATAAATGTTCTAAGATGTGCGTATCTTTCATGCGGTGCAAAATAAACAAGCCAATTATTAAAATCCACCTAGCCTGAGTAAACTAATAAAATATGTAGCCATAAACCACCGACGAAACATCCCCAATTCAGAATAGAATAAAAATATATTCTAAGAAACATAAAAATTGACCTTCAAAAGTTAATATCGAGGTTTACGGCTCAGTGAAGCAAAAACTTGGGTGAATACTACTATAGATATTTTGCGTTTGATGCGGGGGAATAACGTATTAAATCTCATGATTGAGGCTCGAAACCCTAATCTTTAGGATGAACAAATCTAAAGACGGTCGGAGCATAGCACGAGTTTGATCAATTCCTGTTAGCTGATCTGCCACGAAGATTGGCAAGCAGCAGTATTTTGAAAAATAAACGTACTGTGTGAAGCATTCTATATGACTCACTCCCCAAAATACGGTAATAACGTGTGAAAAATGGCGGCTGTCAATGGCACTATTGATGATCGACCATTTAACTGGTAAACTATACTTGTTGCGAAACCAACACGTTATTAGCAACGGGTGGTTTGTTTCATGATGTACTTTTCCCCGAAAACCTGTTCCTCGAATGTACTTGGTATGGCAGTCTAAAGGGATCGTCGCGGAAGAGGTATTACTTCGCAACAATAGATTGACAGCAAAATAGGAACCCGATACTCAAACATGTTACTGGTAAATTGTAGCATGTGACCTTTTGCGCTGCCTCGTGATCAGGGTTTTCACCATTGGGTTGGGGCAATTTTTAAGCAGTTGAGGTCATCAACTTGTTGCCCCAAATGTTACCTGACCTTCTCCACTTTTTACGTACGGTAGCTCTTTGATCGGCTTACTCCATCTTCCTGAAAATGGTCTGTATCATTGTAGATATTCAATAAATAGAAGTAAAAAGAAAGAACAGAATGCGATAAGAATAACAAGTTGTCAAAGCTAACGTTCCAACAACGGTAGCACTTGCAAAGGGTTGATATTGTTGTCCCATAGGAGTTTGTGCACAACTGAATTGATTTACTGAACACACAAATGTGAGAGCTGTCGCCCGTTTACACTGTATCGTGTATCGTCACGGATGTCTCAATCTGGGACGTTACAATCTGTTATCCAGTTTATACCTGAAAAAATCCATTGATGGCGCAGAAATAAAGCGAACTGGTATAATCTTCCAGATACTATGAGGACAAGTCCTCGATTTTCGTAAGTTTTTAGTTTCCTTAACAGTATTTGGTGATTCATTCCGTCAAATACCTTGGAGAGGTGGAGGTGCACCACGTCCATTGTATTACTGTAATCAGCTGCTTGTGTCCACTGTTCTCGCGCCAGAAGCAGGTTACGGATATACGGTTGCATGCGACGAAACGCATGTTACACCGAAGATGAAAAGTCATATTTTTCCAATTGTCTGCAATAATGGATTCCATGACTTTGTCGTTCCCACTGAATTGTGTTTTTAGGGAAATGCGGGTAGCAACTATTTCTTTCTCACTTTTATTTTTTAGTATTTTCAAACATTTTGACGAATCCTATCGCATGTTGCATGTGAATCAAGAACCGACAAACAATAAATGAAATTATTTTCTGGCGTATTTTAGCAGTTTAGATGCGGCAAAATCTGCTTTGACCGAAATCACGCTACCTGGCTTTGTTGTACTCCTTCTTTACTCACTAGCAACTGCTATGTTTCTATTTCAACGATTAGTTCACCCCACAGTGATCACGATCTGTTACCCAAAGCGTGAACACAGCTACTATCTCTACTATGGTCCGTGGGATGAGAATGAATATGTTTTTTTGTAATTTAATTCCCTCTTTCAATGATTGTTTTTTTGGCTGTATTTGCTTTGAGTTTGGCCAGATTCGGATTAGATGAACAACGAACAACAACATACACAATCCAACACGGGAAAAATTCGATTATGTCGCTTTTTCTTTGATAGATCTCGCTCCTTAACTAAGAAGCACATCCCCATGTATGTATGGCGATCTATTCTCACGGAAAACGCAAGAAGGAAATGTAAATTGTTTCACACACAATTGGACGTTGGGAGAAGTATGCAGATAGGAATCAGTCGAGCGAATTTCTAATGGGACTGTGGATATGATGAGTTTCATAGAATTTATCGACCTATTTAAACCGATCCCACAGTTACTAAACCAGTCAATGACTTTCTTCACCCACTCCGAGATGGGCGAGAATAAAAATATATTGAAAAGTGTTTGTTTGTTACATTGATACTTCCCCTGGGGAAAGAATTATAAAACTGAGGCAGTATTTTGTTTCATCACGTTTGTATTTGCTGCTCTAATTCTCAAAAACTTGAATTGCATGCTGAAAGCTATGACTTCATTCACATCTATTACTTAATGTTTAGGAATGAAACACACCTGGATATGGTGGGCTAACAATAGGTGATTTGTTTTTTGTGTTGCTAGTGAAAATAATTAGGTGGTGTTTGACTTAATGATGGAGATGCACACTTTAGTTGAGTGTGGTTCCATTGACTAAACATCATAAAATTAGTCATTCACTTTGTGATATGTGGGTACTTTTTAACGTCTGAATTTATCTCCACTATGGAAAGCGGTAATGAGCCAAGCTTGTTTTCTTTATATTCATCCTCGAGCTGTTCTCAGAAAACGAACTGTTCAGTCACCACGCTTGCCCAGACCGCAACCTAACACAGCCGACTAAAACGACCATGACCTTGGACTTGACTCAAGGGCACAGATATATTACCGTATTATCCTGAGGAAAGAGTTGCCAAAGGCAGGCTATTTTATTACAGTAATTTCCCAATATCGCAATGGGAATATTCAGTGAAATACATCTCTACATCTGAACACTACCGATTATATAGGTGGGAATAACAACGTGGTGAACAATTTAGTTTTCAGTTATTCGTAATCATGCCGTTACATTACACCAAATAAGATGAACAACAGGAACAAACGGGGTATAAGAGATTTGAGTACTAATGGTTCAGATCCGGCTCCAATCATGTGTGCCACTGGGCTTGTGTATGTGCGTCAACAGTTCAAGTGATTGCACACATGTCAGAGTGGATGAAGTGAACCAGGGAGGGGGGCTAAATACATGCATAAATTTCTTCTGGGTGCACAAGAAGCGGGGGTGGGGGGTGGGGGTTGTGAATCCGAATATTTAGGGTTTCGGCCGTGGCTAAGATACAATGCTTCACTGCTTTTGATTTCCGGCATCAAACCTTGTAAATCAGTCGGAACGCGCTTGCCATATCCATTGAGTGATTGGACTCAACGAGATGCGAACATACCGCGCTCGTAATGGTCTACACTGTTCCTGTGCTCAGCCAAGCCGAGTGATATTCGCAAACGCGATGAGCGGATAAACACCTGTTCGTGCGGTCAATGTATCCAGTTCCACAGGACCAGGTGATACAGTAAACACAGCATAAGGCTGCACGATCTGGCACTCTATTCTTCAGTCGGAAACATAGTTGGTTTAGATGTGAACACTGCTTTTAATTGTGCAGCGTAAAATGTTCTGCTGTTTCTTTGGACGATTTCCGCCTCCGTATCTCCCTTGCACGGTAGATGCACATAAACAGAATTCTCTGCTGCTCCTAAATCCTTTGGCTGGTCCTCGTGTTCTAGCATTGCTCTATCGATAAATTGTTTGGGGTAGCCATTCTGATCGTTATATATTACATATATTTCTACCACTGAGTCCATCATAACTTCATTCTCATGTTCAATGGGTTTTCACGGCTTAATAATAGGGAAATAATCAGTGATTGGATGGACTCACTATCTGTCTATTTACTGGCTTTATTAATTACTTAAAAGCTGTAGAATCTCTCTGATCAATAGTTGTTTTGACTATTAACTGACTGGAGCGGACTGTGACCCCGATTGACCGGCGCCTGACAAACGAGTTCACACTGATGTGACCCGATTAGAACCAATGATTTCTTGTTATGAGTGAAAATGCACCAACTGAATTTTTATTGTTTTCACAGATTATGAATATATAGTTTTATCAATTACCCAACGGAGAATTTAGTTTAGTTCAAACAATGTTGGTAAAATTCCATAGTTTACAAGTTTACAACGTAAATTCAATAAACTGTTTTGATTGCAATAGGACAAGCAGAAAAATGCAGTAACTACTACTAAAATGAAAAAAAACAATGCATGTTTAAAGATGTATCAGATCATTCCCTCATTTGTTACCCCATACGATAAGCATTACCTGTTCCATAACTGGCTATCACAGGTTATTAAATGCCTATTGGTCCAAATAAATTTGTCCAATCATGATCGTGTGCGGCTAAAATATTGTTCAGAATACTTGTCACTTTTCCCAGCCTGCCTCAAATAGATCAACCTGACTGTTTGACCAACTTCACAACGGACCGGTGCTACAGCTTGTTGCAACTGACATGGGTCGTTACACATCATTCTTTGGAAGTTTGGCAAGTAGCCTGTTGGAATATGAAACACAAAAAGTGGTGCAAATTCATTCGAAAAAAGTGGGAATTTTGTTCCGCCTGATACAACTTGGCATTTTCCTGTATGTCGTTTTATGGGTGATGGTCTACGAAAAAGGCTATCAATCATTTGATCAGGCTGTGAGTGGGGTAACTGCTAAACTTAAAGGAATTGCCTTTGCCAACGTGTCAGACAATCCTTCCATCGGGGCGTCCGTTTGGGACGCCGCGGACTACGTGATACCTCCACAGCAGAACTCTGCATTCTTTGTTATGACTAATCTGGTGTCTACACCCGGGCAAACTCTGACCACCTGTGAGGAAGCGCATGATGTGTACGGGAATTCGTGTAAGAATGACACAGACTGCCAACCTGGTCGTTTGGTCATGACTGGTAGTGGAATTCAAACGGGACGTTGTGTACCATCAACGAGGCAAAAGAATTTGCAAGTATGTGAAATATACGGTTGGTGTCCCACAGAGTACGATATCACACCAAAACCACATTTGCTATCGTCTGCGGAAAATTTCACTGTGATTTTGAAGAACAGTATCGAGTTTCCACGATATCGTGTAAAACGGCGTAATATATTACCGTGGATGGACAAACTGTACCTCAAAACGTGTCGATATAATCCGTATGATGAACGCATGAAGTTTTGCCCCATATTTCGACTTGGTGATATTCTCAAATATTCTGACGCAACAAATAAGGATATTTGGCAAAACGGTGGAATGGTTTCCATTCATATTGAGTGGAATTGCAATTTGGATTTCGATGTGGAAAAATGTGTGCCCAAATACGTGTTCCGTCGTCTGGACGATTTTGAGAGCCCCGTGGCACAGGGCTGGAATTTTCGCTTCAGTCAGCACTACATGGAGAACGGAATACGTAAGAGGAATTTAATCAAAGCCTACGGGATCCAGTTCTTTATCACGGTCTACGGAACTGGTGGAAAATTTAATGTTTTAACATTCTCCATGAATTTGGGTTCTGGTCTGGCCCTTTTGGGCATAGCCACAGTACTGTGTGATATGATTGTTCTAAACATCACCCGGAAACGTGGACTGTATCGGAGAGCGAAAGTGGACTTGGTGGCTCAGAAGAAACGTGAGAGAGAACGACTGAGTCGTAAAGCGCGTGTCCATGTAAACCCAAGAGACACAAATCCGACAGAGTTCGCCCAATCAGATCCCAGTAATGGTGTTGGTGGTAGTGATGACGCGAATAATTCGGCTGAGAACACCGTGTCTAGGATTTCATCCAAGCGATGTGCAAAAGGGAATCGCATTCCGCAGACAGACCAGGGCAATGTTGATAAACTAACCGAGCCACCTAATTGGACTGATCAGTTGTGCGCAAAGCTCAGTGACAAGAATGACCAGAAAAGTGGGACGAATACGCAAAATAATCACATTCCAGTCAATCAGGCCAGTCTCATGGGCCTGCAGCTTGTGAGTTCCCCCACGGATGATGTGAATAAATCCACACAGACTCTGCTTGTGGCTTCCCCTAGCTTTGATCGGAGCTCAGCGATCAGGGATTACAACCCGTACTTACCAAAAACAGTATCTATGGCTTTCGGACCACCAAGTACGCGTAAATGTGATCTTTGATCACAACGTTGTGTAACCCGGTAATTCCAACAGATAAATAATCGGGGCGGTTTAAAACAGATGGTCCTCAAACCGGAACTCCAAACTAAACTTCAGTGCACTTCCAGACCCCCACAAACATGAGTCATAATTCATTCCACATGAAACAATATACCGCATCAGACCTCACCTATAAATCATGAGCAAAATATGGTACGATTTCATTGTCGCTTGTTTTTGTGTGCCGTCTGTTCCACATCATCATCCATCCTCAATCTTTGTAACCGGAATATCCCCAAACACACGAATTTGTGATCAATCACGCAAATGTAATTCAGCCACTTGTGTCATATAGCCGAAGCACTTCCCGTTCAATTGGCAAATTGGATGATATCTTTGATTCACCAGTTGGATTGAAAATATCTGAAATTGTGGGCAATTTGTTTCCAATTTGTGTCTCTTCTCCCAACTTTCCTATGGCTCTATCTTACAATACAACTATCCGTGCAATTTGTGAAAATTAGAAAGATTTTGCAGATCACCTTCGTTATAATACAAAAGACAAATATCACATCTTCCGTATAGTGCTTTTTGTTCCGTTCGGTTCTACTATCCTTCTCTGGAGTGTAACCAAGGGAATCTCACGGGATGAAGAAATCTGGGTAAATAACCATGCTGCATTAATCCGGTAGATAAATTGATAATGTAACTGACACAGGTAATGCTCTTCTATCGTCTTATTGATTGCATTAATGTTAAGGTAAGTATTGAGGTCCCATGATACGCATATTGTCCCGTAAACTTTGTTCCATCTGAGACGTCCAATGCAAACTATTCACACGTAATCTAAATTTAATATTTTCACCAGTATACATAGCTCTGGTTATCAGTTCATAAGCACGAACTAAGAAATGTTCAACATGAAGGTTGCACAACCCCAGCGAACGTCTAACCTCAAAATCCGATCACATTCGGCCGACAGATGCGTATCTGTGTTTACATTTCTACTCAAATTCGTAAGCCGCGCTTGCTCAGTTTGAACTGTTTACTTTGCAATGCGTATCAATGCGTACAATTGTGTTTATCAAATTAATTAAGTGTTTCATAATTTCCATCAATTTTTCACTCGTACAAATTACTTGCAATGTGATATACAATATGTATATCGGTTTGTGTGAAATTATCTGAAATTGTTTATCCGGCTCTGTGCAACGATTGGGTTTACATGAACTCGACGAAGACAGACGAGAATTACCGGAAAGCATAACCGGAACGAAAAAATTGTATACTGTTCCTATTTTATTCAATCCGGTACGCGAAAATATTTTGGTAATCAAATCCAGTAAGGTGATATCATGCTACCGTACGACACCAGTGACCGTAAAGAAGCGAAGCAAAACGAGGAAGAGCCGTGAAAAAAACAAAAACAAACTAAATAGACTGAACTGAATTCTGTCAATGTTTTCTTCCCCGGGCTAGTACAATAAAGTATACATGGGGCTGAAAATTTTCAAATTAGTTGATAGATCTAATTTGTTAAAAGCATCTGTTTCTATTATAATAATTTTTAACCGTGTGGTGGTCCAGTCAAGCGAATATGTGATCACATACGCCAAAAAAGTGTGCACAAAAATTAATTCTGGTCCATATCAGTAGACTGGAACAGAGGAAAATCAGTAGGTGACGTTAAACTTTGCAGCCAATTCTATATTGAACAGGCAGATCAGAAGACAAAAACTACGCGAGAGGAATTCCTTTTCTATACTCTCTCGTCGGTCGCGTACATATAACATTGAACCAGATGGACAAATGAAGCGAATCAAGAAATCTAAGTCAGTTTATTCGTGTTTTCGTACTGTGTGTATGATGCACATGATGGTTTACAACCAGGGAAGGTCAAAGGAAAAGGTATACGCTCTTGGACACACAGCATGCGTTTATTGTGAGCGTTCAATAATGCCTCGAATATCAGTGTTTGTCACGATGACATAACAAAACCGGGAACGCTTTCTGTGTTCACTCAGTCGGTCCTCGTCAGAATCGAAGTCAAGTCCGGTGCAACGACGTTATCCGGGTTTACTCTACTGGATTATTGTAAAATTTATCAAGCACGGGGTGCGTGTCAACAGAAATATCAGGTAAGCATCAGCTTATTTGATTAAGAAAAAAGATACAAATTGAAAATCACCGATAAAAGACATTAATCAGATCAACGGAGTTCCGATGAAATTGGAAAGTCATCCTTAAATTCGTAACACATTTTATGAAGCCAAACGTAAGTTTACACAAATTATATATATTTGTTAATTCTGTCCCATATCCCTTCTCACATCATAAACCAGTTCAACACGTGCCTAAAATATGGTGATGTCTGGCTGAGGCGAATGCACTACGCGTGGAATAACTGCGTACAAGACAACTTTCCCACACAGGCACACACGTTCAAAAAGCACCAATCATTTTTGTCACAGTGTATGCCACTTGTTAATCAAAAATAATCGGTTTGCGTGTGTCTAACATTCAGTCTAATCAGTCATGTGATCACTCGGCCTCAGAGAAAATTTGGTTTTGCAACCTTAAGGGAACATCTCACAAGAGGTTTTCAGCTGCTGCTGACTGGATTTAGTCTATCATAGTCACATATCTGAGGTCCATAACTGGTACCATTCTGTGTCTAGATATCTCTACAGTCGGCTGATGCCCAACTACAAATGAACAACAACAACAACAATCACTGACTCATAATGTGACCTCCAAATGACCTTCAACCATATTCAATAAAACAGAATACACTGAATCTCCGGGATTGATGCTCAAGTCAAGGCAGTGGCAGTAGCAGTGACAGAGACATTTTCGGTTCACTGCATAAACCTGGCAGTCCCAGGTAATTTGGGATAAATAAATGTTAACCGGCTGATCCAGACGACACTCTGATCCTCTCTGAGGTGCTGCCGCGTTTGGCAGTAGTGCGAGGAAGAAGCAACAAACCATTTTACCGCATTCTTGTAAAGAACTCCCAGTTTGGTATTTAAAATGTGGTAAATTGTTGTTATTCAATTTGTCTGTTACATGTTTCAGATGTTTCATTTATTATCAAAACTCGTTCTGACAAACCGTTCAGTTACAAAAGATTGCACATCAAAGGACTGGTGAAATTTACCCACACTGTGTCAATCATTTTGAAAACTCATGTTTTTGTTATATCGCATACAAGTCAGTTGTTAGAAAGCCGATCACGTTACTTTCAACATGCATTTTGAGATCTGATTAAATATAAATTCTGGTGTGTAAAAAATACCCCGTCATTGAAAACTGAAAATAAAATCTGCTGTTTTCACTACCGTGTCTAGTTAAATATGAAATTGAAAGGTACTCAGCTTTTATCCCTACGACACATATATCTTCTTCAAATTCTATTGTATTCAAACTTTAGCGAGTTGTATACAAGTTTTCAGCCAAAAAAATATTAACGGTGGCGAGAAATTGTAGCGCAGCCGTTCAAGTGGCGCGCTTCGTGAGACACTCGAAGCGGTGTCGAACTGAACTTCTAAATTGAATGTTGATAAAACATTCATTTCATGTGTTGTTTTTTGATCCGCACTTTGGAATTGAATTGCAGTTCGTGACATGGAACTGAAGTGCCACCCAGGCTTTATAGGCTATAAGCAAAAGCTTCTCACCCCATAATTGCGCAAAAATACAAAATACACTGTTTCCAGTGATTCCAATTACCTAAATTAAACAAAGTGGTCTCGTTAGAATATTGCCCCGCTGATTAATTTTAATAATGTTCGTGAATGCACTTTCTAAATTTTATCTAGACATTGCGTTCAGCTAAAGCGTATTAAAGTGTCACAGAGCATTATCGTGTTCATCTACTCGATGAACCAATGCACCTGAATCGATCAACCTTTCTTTTCTCCCGCGCTAAGCAGTTTGACATGAATTTCGATGTATACTTGTCTGTAGATAAATAAATCTCCGTAAAGAAACTTGGTCAGCACTGCGTTTTCTTCTTACAGTGTATCGTGATGGAATATGTATTCGGATATCCGAATCCGATAATTCATCATTTTTCTTCCAAAAAATTGACCTAAGTCATTTCTGATGGGAAAATAATACAAACTTGATCTCTGGGCGATCGTTACAACTGTGACAGATATTTAAAACGTTTACTTTAAGCATTTGATGTTTATTCTAATGCTGTTTTTGATACCCTACTTATAATAATTTTATTTTATTCTATGAACACAAACTAGCCACATGTTTTGTTGACAAATTTCAGCCCCAGGTATCAATGATCTTTATTAATAAATGTGAACTCTGCACACTACGAGAACCGAAGTTTCATATGAGTGTGCATTTTTAAACAAGCCAGTTAAGCGAAATATTTAGAATGATTGAAACTGTTGCCAGAGGAAATCCATGAATTTCTGGTCTCATCAGCGTAGCACGCGGAGTTCCACAGGGATACGTTTTTGTTTTTATAAATGACCTAACGGACATTCTAAGGACACAAACGTTAACGTTTGCAGACGATGCAAAAATATGGAAAACGAGGATAAAACTGAAGGACTGATTAACCCTTCAAAGAACACTTAATGCTGCCAATCAATGAATGATCGAAAACAACATGGAATTTAAATTCATCAAATTGTACGGTCGTATCCCTTCGCCAAAACACTCGGATTCTGTATTTTCTTGAAGATCAACAACTTCCGTATGTCTCGAACTAGAAGGATCTCGATGTCATTGTCCAAGACAGCCGAAGTTGTTCTTTAAACTGCTTCCGGGCGTCGTCCACCGCTGTAAGACATATTGTTTTGCTTAAGTGAGTATTTGGCAAATCTGAATCTGCGCTGGTTCCACGGTTATTATCAACCGACACTCGACCCCCACGGAGTAGGCAATTAAAGCGTGGAATCCATGGCTGCAAAGCGATCGTTAGATTCTTGAACCTCCTCAAAAAGTGGCCACCAAAATGGTCAAGGGACTGCAATCCAAGAGTCACGCGGAAAGAC